TCTCTTTCTAACTGGCCTCGATACGTTAGTCAAAGAAAAATTTTCTGTTTTGATTATAATCTTTTCCATTCACCTCTTGTAAAATGTGACCGTAGGCAGGGTGTTCTGTTCATACATAATATTATCGGTAGTAAATCTTTTTCTAAGTTGAAATGTCTCCTTAATACCCCATTTTTTGTGTTAATTTGATATAGCATATTTTTTTCTTTGTTTATGATAATGCCTTCGTCCCATTTATTTATTCCAAATGTTTTGAACCAAATTTTTTCTCCTATTTTTCGGTAAAGTCGTGAGCAAAATATTATAGTTTTCTTTTTTATATTTTAATAAATCCACTTGGTTCTAGTGTCATGATTAAACATTACCTTCCTTGGAGGAACTTTTTACAATACTTATATTTGGGGCTTTGGGTAAGAAATTATCCAAAAGATAATGCATTGTTATTTAATATACATGAACATGGTTTCTTTTCATCATCTTTGAAGGCACTTATAAGATATGTGCCAATCAATGATTAGATTATTAAAGGATTGACCATCCTGGATTTGATCCTAATTTTTCATTTTAATATTCGATCCTTTTAAAAAAATATTTTTTTTACTTATAAAATTAAAAATAGTATTTTTTAAAAAAAGTCTATCACCATCATACTCTAGCATTCTCCGCTATATTTATATTTTTCTCATAAATTTTATCAAGACAGCATTTACTAATTTGATTTACAACCTAAAAGTTTTATTTATTGAATTTAAAAATAAAATATTTTAGGTATTATTTAATAATGCCTATTATAGATCTAGAAAATTACATATACATTGTGATAAATATAAATGATCAGTATCGTTTTATATTTATGATATGACATAACATTTTGAAAATTTGCCCATTTTACAAAATTTTGTAGATATCCTTTATAGTATATTGTTAAAAAATTAAGCCAAATTTTGCTCTTCCTACTTCCTGACACTTTAAATCCAATTCCTCTTATTCTAGGTACCAAATCATTTCAACCCCAATTATTTCATTGCCAAATTAAATTAGAAAATGTATATATTCATAAAAAAATTATGAAATTTCCTTGATTTGCGGCAAATATATGTTCATGCCGGTATTCATTTCGAAGAAGCCCGTCATATCCAGCACTTAAAATTTATTCACTAACTCCTAACATTGTGTTGCGTAATTTTATGACCTGGGACCACCTCGAATCGATATGAAAACAGCTACCTTAACTCCGGGGAAAGAGAAGGGGGTGGCGCAAGATGGTCATCGAAATTGGAGAGGGGTAAGTAGCTATGCTTATGAAGATGCTATCATCATGAATAATTTTTTTATTTGCATTTTCCCTTTTTGCTGCTTGAAGGGCGGCTAGATTTATTCGAAGAATATGTTGAGAATTTTTTAAATACATTAATTTACTGTATTAGCCACTCTTTTTAGTCAACGAATGTAAATATTTATCTACGTTCATGTTTTTTTAACTATTTAATAATAATACTCCTATCTAATATAATTCATATGAAAGGTGTTGTAAATGTTAGATTTAATTTGCATAAAGAATTCTTTTGGATTTTGTTGTACTTTATATTTAATTTGCATAAAGAATTCTTTTGGATTTATTATTATAACGCGTGATAAAAATATTATATTTGAATAGTTATGAATATTAGTTATAAGATTGAAAAGAATATAAAAAGGCCAATTTTTACCATACAAAAGATCTTTCATAATTATTAACTTTTTTGTATTTTATTTTTACTTTTATAATTTTGTTAATGTTATAATTTTGAATAAAGGATGAAATTGATTTCATGATTTCGTGATTCCTAATTATTATTAATTTCTTTTTATATATATATATTTGTTTTCTATTTTTATTTTCAGGTTTTGATTTCCAATTCATCCGTTTGATCAATCACGTCTACCGTTATCTTTTATCCTGACAATTTCTTTCCAACATATCATGTCACCTCTCTACATCACTTAATCAGCGTAATCTACTTTGCATTTTCTCTCATTTTAAAATTAATTAGAGCGATCATCAAGTCTTAATAATGGCGTTCCTTGCAATGCATGTTCCATAAATTTATCCAACATTCATAAACATTTTTTTCTGTGGGAACCGTTTTTGCTCTTCTCATAGACTAGCAATCAACCCTGTACAATAAAGCCTTAACCATTGACGATATCTTGTCATTTAGATACAACTAGCTAGATACTTCTTTTAATAAAATTCCGCCCATAACTACTTTTCTTAAACTTTATAGGTCAATCCTTATTTAATTTACCATCACTGCGAATTCGATTCTAAATATTAGAATGATTTTACCATATCTACATCTAAAAACTTACCTTTAGATAACGTTCTTCCATGCTATACATTGAATCAGTCTTCGACACCACATATTTTTTTCTATCTATTTACCGAATTCCTTCACTTCTTTAGTGAAATTTTTTAGCCATTCCTCCAATTATTTCTTGCTATTATTAGTGGTAAGCGGAAAATAATTCACCGGAAAAAAAATCCCCAATAATAATTCTTAAAAAATAATTCCCTGGAATGATTTTCTTAAAATTTTTAAATATTTTATTTAGGGATTTTTATTTCTTGGATATATTTATAGGGAATTTTTTCTCCTATTTTATTAATTTTGTAATTTTTAATATCAATAAATAGGGATTTTTTTTCTGGGGAATTATTTTCCTAGATTCATTACCAGTAATTCAGTACTAGAAATAAAAATGGGTATAAAGCTGACCCTTAACGCAAATCAACAATAAATTTTAAACCATTACTGGTTCCACCATTGCTTGTAATTATCGTTTATTTTTTTCCGCCAAGCACCACCATATTAAGTCCTTAAGAACTTGATCATAAACTAGGCCAAAGAACACAATATCTGTATGTTTATGAAAATTTTTGTAGGTAGGTATGTGAAAAATAATAATAAAAAGGGAAAGATGGTGGTCTGTCAAGGGAATATTCCGCGCGAATTTTGGAATTCCTGAAAAATATTTGATTTCATTTCTATTTTTTAAATTTAAATATTAATATATCTCTAATATCATCATTCAACTTGTGCTTTATCGTGCAACTAAAAAGGGAAATGAGATTTTTAATAATCACTTAGCTGTTTAGAATGGCGATATGATGAACCTGAGCCATTTGAAAGGCTCAAATATATATAATTTATTCAATGATCCATTGATATTTTTTTTTCGAAGCTCCTATAATCAACGCTATACCTCCTATCGACTATGCTTACAAATACGATATATTGAAACTATCATCTCTTTATGTGCAAATATAAAGGACAAACTTATAATTAGGTATGTAAAAAAACGGATATAACAATTTAAATCTAATATAAAATAATTTTAACTAAATTTTATAATTTCAATGGGCATAACCGAGTTTAGATTGAAAGAATTAGTGACTTATCCCGTTCGACGGTGTTAGTTTTTATGTATCTAAACCCGTTAGTGAATTATCACTGCATATAAAAATCAGGGAATTTCGGCATTGATCCTATTCAAATAACTTACTGAAAAGGAGATTATATTAACAAGGTATACATAAACTGCTTGTATAAGGTTTTTCTTAGTTGACCAAAAACTCGCATGTTTTTAAAGAATAATAAAAAAAATCTTTAACTTAAAATTTGTCTGGCATTATATATTAAATAATTTCGGTTGGCTTGTTCTTCATCATCAGATTATCATAATAATTTTTTGTTTAAAATTAGAGGTGCAACAAAAATATTGATCTATATATTTTTGCATAATTATTTTATATTTAAATAAAAAAGAAATATAATGCGCTATTCCATTTTATTTTTAATATGCCTAATCGCGGTATGTACATAGTGGACAGGGTGCAAGAGGGTTAATTTTTATCTTTTTAAGCAAAATATTTATTGAAGGATTTATATATTTTATAAAAAGCGTATGAAAATAAACTTGCCTGTTCAAAATTAAAGATAACATCACCGTACAAATGTAAATGATTATATTGTAGCCATATTAATACTTAGATTAGATAAATAAATAAAAATTGTGTTTGATTTGATAAAATAAATATCTTTTTCAGCACGTACCGAAACAGACTTTGACCGGAACGGACATAAATTTCTTAGTTCTCCCCAGGGCTGTGAACTATCTAAAATGGATTTGGGTTCAATGAAATATCTCTGAACCTGTTTCCAAAATTTATATTGCAAAATTAAACTATCAAATTTTTTTGCTATATTTGACACTGCATTGCAACTTTTTGTTCTTTTCTTTGATTTTAGTCTTACCTTTATAATAATCCAGCAAACAACATTAAATATGCGCAGGTAAAATTAAAAATTTATACATAAAATGGAGTACTCTAAAATATAATAAAAACGTTTCCACGAAAATGTTAATAAAATACATGGTTTAAATAATTTAGATGATTTTTATATTTAATTTTAATACAGTTTTAAATTATGTTATTTTTTAAAATAAATAAAAGTTTAATATTTAAAAAAATAATTCTTGAACCCTGGATTTTAAATAAGGGTATGGATTTAGTAAAATATTGAGGGCTCTGGTTCACAGCCCTGGTTCCGCTTCCCGGAAAGAGATCAATAAAGGTAATATATTAATAATTCAATGTAATAATTTATCCTTAAAATAGAAATAACAAATAATAGAAATGTGTTAATTCTTAATAATATCAAGAAAAATATTACTTTATCACAGTTCCAACCCATCTAATTACTCAAAGTTTTGCAGGTCATCCAAAAGAATTTTTGTTGATAATTTCAATGAAAGATGTAAATAATTTATCAACAAACTAATTTTCCAATCTTTTGTATAATTTATTAAATTATTATAAATTCATTATTACAATAATATATATAGTATAATAATAAATATAAATTTGCTAAAAAAAATAATTTGTTTTATAATAATTTTGTTTTACAAGTAAAGATTAATCGAGGCACAACTTTGAATTAAACTATGAACTAATAGAAATCTATAACCATAAAATTTTCACGGGACATTATAGTTTAGAATTAACATTTAACTCGAATATAACAAATAAATCTATCAGGATAATTTCGCGTTATAAAATGTTCTAACAATATTATGAACTAAAATAAAGCCAAAATATCAAAAATGATACATTTCCACGATTATAGACGGAATTAACTTTTATTAGTAAATATTAATCGAAATGTAAACAATCTAAAATTTTAATTATTACGAGTAGGTTTGGGAAATTTTTTAAAATAAATAATCATTAATGCATAAAATAATTAAGATAGTTTATTTTAAAATAGGAGGTAAGAGGTTGATCTATGTGCCACGCGCCGAAATTTCAGCTTGATTGCTTTGATGTAAATTAGAAAGGGGCACAAGAACACTAACATAAGTCTTGGGGAAATATCCAGACTTTCCTCGGACTTTACCTTCAAACCAGTTTTCATCAATGTCCTTGGTGAGGGTGATGATGTCGTGCTCTTTAAATTCCAATTCTCCGGGATTAAGTGCTTCAAAATCGTAAAGCGCTTTACATTGTGGGCCTAATTTGCTATTTCCGGTGGCAGGATACATCGTTGAGTTATTGCTATTATTATGGCCTAAACTAGATGTGAAGTCTGAAACACAAATATTGAATAGTTAAAAAATGATATAAAATTATTAAACACAATTCACAAAGGCTGGGCAGATATTAAAATATAGGCTGAAATGATATTTCAAAAAACTAACCCAATATTTAACATGTAAAAAAGATATCAAAATTTAAGATATCACATCGTTTCATATACACTCTTTTTAATTTCTGCGTACAATAACATTAATATCATCATACACTTTTTAGTAAAATTTATCATATCATCAGTTGATTTTTTAAAGGTTATCAACGACGTGGCATGGTATGTATATAAAAAAAATATATTTTTTTTTTAAATAAGTAATATAATTTATTTTAAAAATAAATTCAGATAACAATATGTTTCACCCGTAATATATAAAGTGGTAAATTTTTATACTGAGAAAGACATTGAGAATTTAACATTTAATGAAATGGACTTAAGCTAGTTGACGCAGGCACATTATCCGCGGTTGATGCTACCATAAAATGAGGTTGAGCTAATCTGGGTTTTTCATTTGCTTCTTGTTTCCTAATTATTTGATATTGAATGGTATTTATTCTATTAATATAATGTAACTTTTCGGGTCCAAAATGTATCAAACTGTTATTAATTCTATCCTTCAAGAGGATTGTATAATTTCCCAATGAAAATATTTTTTTTTAAAAAATTAAGTTTGTATAAGATTATATTAGTTATCTCGGAAATTTTGATATTCAATTCTATTGGGGTACATCTCTCAAAACTACAAAAATAGCACATTACCATAAAACAGATGTTTTTAAATATAAATTTTAGAAACAAAAAAAACCACTCTATTAGAGATTAAATTTTTTTTCTTATAAGTCTCTTAATCAATTATTGTTTAATCATTTTAAACAGATGTTTTTGGCTATTAGATTATTAAAATTTCAATTATACATAGTATAAATTGATACACTAAAAGAATTATTTTAACATTGGTTTAATTGATATATTATGTATAAAAAAAATTAAACCCGAATTTAGGCGAATTAAACCCTAGCATTGTTTGATATTAATTTATTTTTTATTGGTAGAAAATTTTTTATTTAGACAAAGTTCTATAATTTGTTATAATATATATAATTTTTTATTTAATTTGACTGACAATTTTCACTTTTTAAAGAAATTATGTATATTCATTCATTCCTTTAGCACGTTGGTCTACTACCATTCCTGATGAGAACTCAAGAATATGCGCCTATCCTCGCATAAACGTGAAGGAAGCCGACAAAAACTTGTAACCCAGATAATTATAAGGGGTAGTACTAATTCCCCATTTTATATTATATCGTTACATATAACTACATATTATTCTCAATAAAGGCCGACTTATAGTAACCTTATAATTTTAACATTTTTTGTTAAATAATATAACTGACAATAAGAAATTGAGTATATATAGTCCAATAACTTTTTTCCCCACTAATTTAAAAATTATTTTAAGATAAATGATTTAAGAGAAAATGAAAATGTTTAGAAAATAAGCAGCATAATCAATTTTATAGTATACCTAGAATGTGATAAATTTTAATCAACATTCATCACCTTTATCAAAAGAATTCCTAAAATGTTTAATATTTTGTTTCTGTTGATTGATAATTATTAATTATTGTATTGCAATCATAGCAAGATCATGATTATTAGTATTTTATATGTATGAGCAACAATTTTTGTAAATTCGTTTTTATGTTAAAAGATTTAGTCAATCAAATATCAAAATTTTTAGCATTCGTGATAAGTGACTTATTAATTTAACTCTCCTGCGCATGAGAGGAAAACTATTTGAAAAATATTCTTGGGATAAAACATATGATCATTATTATTCTTCCGTAATATAATTTAAGTTTTTAAGAATTTCAATAAAAATCTTAATTTTATCAATACGTTTATTTTAGTTTTTTACTTACTCACCTTTTGATGGATGATCATAAATTAAGCTTAATAAAAGTTTTTATTTGATTCTTTATGATTATTAAACTATTAGATTCGATGAAGTGAAAAAGAAAGAAAAGGCCCAAACTACTACCTATAATACGAATACAAATATGAATAAAATAAGAAATACGCACTTTTTATTCAATTTATGAACCAAATCTTCGTAACTTATCACGCATTTCTTATGGTATTCTAGCATGGCTTCAGCGAAAGAAGATAATTCGGCTATCATTTCAACCTAACCATTAAATATTTGTCAATAAGAAAGATTCGCTAAAGTTGCATATACAACATTACTGTGAAACCTCTAAAGTTACAATGATCGTTTTAGGGGGGTTTTCCTTGTCAAAATCTTATTAAAAACGAACAAAATGTTCTAGCTCTTGAGGTTCACATTTAAAAGATTTCACTGCCACACAATAAAAAAAAATTAATTTTAAAAATAAAGGATTAAATAATATTATTTATATTAATAAATTAAACATCGTTTTGCAGCAGATATTGCATAGCTTGGGTAGCTTGACTTTTAGATTCAATGAACTTGGCTTCAGCTTCAGATAATTCCGAATCTATATATTATACAAACAAATAGTTGTCTAGTTATTAGCCTAAAAAAATTTATCATTGTGTAAAACATTTGAATACCTAGCTATATAACTGGTGTTAATATTTCATAATAATTTTAAGATATATCTGCTAAAACCATTTTTAAAATATGAATAAAAAAAAAAGTAAACATTTTATTAAATGATGTGAGCGGGAGGTAATAATTTTTTAACTTTCAAAAAAGAAAATATTTAACATTTAGGGCTGCATCGATCCATTTTTTTTCTTCCATCGATACCATGGAGCTGATAGATCTCATAAATCAATATTGCATTTATTTTAAATGTTGACTAAAGGTAGGTAAAAGTTAAAAAATAATTTTTTTAAAAAACATATTGAACTACAAAATATATCCTAAATATTTTATTAAAATTTTTGAATGATGTTAAAATAAACAAATTTATCAAAATCTGAGACAATATTTTATATATACGATGGCCATTGATGATAATTTTTTGTAAGTAGCACCATTTAATATGCTATAGATATGATTGATTAATACAAAATTGAGAAATTTTTTTAAATATTAAACCATAGTTTACGTCGTGAGTTGTAAGATGACATTTCACAAAAATTAATGCATATTCTTAAACATAGACAAAAATATTAAAAGGATAAAAAAATATTTAAAACATTGAGAGGCAAACTAGCTAGATGCAAAGTAAGTAAATGTTTAAAAAACTTATTAAATATCGGTATCGGTTCTATAAAATTATCAACCAATTGAATATTGGCGCCAATACGATACTTAATGCATGCAGCTCTAAAAAAATATTTTAAAATACAACAAATAAAAATATGTCTTTTACTATTATTATTCATTTTTTCCAGCCCTTATTAGAGTCCTGCTGGACTGGCCCGTCAGCCAATAATTTTAAGAAAATTAAAAAAGTTTTTTTTAAAAAAAAATCAGGCGATGGGTAATGTTTACTATTCATTTTCATATCATATTTGCTAATGAATATAATTTTAAAAAAAAAGATAAAAAACGTAATTAAATTATCAAAAGTTATTGTTGAATATTTAAATTTAATGCATAACAATTTAAAAGTAGAGAACAAAATAAATATTTTAAGTTTGAGATTTGTTATGCTTTTTATAAAAAGTGGGGCCATATTTTAGATTTTGTGGATCTTTGGTTTATATATTAAATTATAATAATGTACCGGTTGTTTTTTTGCGTTTTTTAGCATCAAAATCGAGCCTTCTTCCATAAGTCTTCTTGCAGAGATGCTAAAAATGTTGAGCATATAATCGTTTTTTTTAAATTTTACAAGATATATAAGGTATTTTTTTACCAGAACTTCCTTAACTTCCTTTTCTTGCAAATTTTTGAATGGCTCCAAAACATTCTGCCTAACATTATCTTCCAGTGCATATTTAATGTCAGCTAGATGTTTCATGGATTCACCAGATTGAATCAAGGATTGGCCTACCATTTATGTTAAGAAAAATTAAATATTTAAATTTAATAATCTTAGAATATATTTATATCAAAAATTATGAATAAAATTATACAAATTTTTGTGGTAGCATCAACCCCCCCCCCTCCTCCATCAATTAAAAGTCAAGATTCAAAAATATAAAATGTGTATTGATGATAGAAGAACAACCAATATTATATTTATAGGAGGCTAAGTATTAAATGTATTACACACCTACTTTTAAATATTACTAAATTTAAATAATTCGGCAGAAATGAAAAACAAAACATTTATAGGTGTTGTGCCAAAATGTATATAAAATATATATAGATCACGAATTTTAATACCGAATAATGAGTTATAACCAAGAGCCTCACCATACTTCAACATAGCGGCACCCAATTCGCCTTCTGGTTGCGTATAAGGCGCGTTACTTTCCTGACCTTTCATCTTTTGATAAGCGCTTAGAGCTCCTAATTTGGCTCTGGTCGCTGTTGGTGATATTAAATTTTTAATGGTGTAATAAAGCAAATTGAAATTAACAGATTAGTGAACTTTAAAAAAAATCATACCCGGATTGGGTTGTAAGAACTCTTTCGTTTTCTGAGAAATATCCTCCAACAATTCTGAAGTAACGTTGCATCGCTATTCATAAAATAAATTTATTACTCATACATGATTTTTTCATGAATTTTAGCAGAGATATGAATAACCCTAAAGCCCAGCCTATTCCAAATCGGGGCAATTTGAGAAAAATATTTTTTCCGGCCCAGCAGGTAATTTTCCAAAGTGGGTCCCAAAATTTTGTTTTTAAAACCTTGTATAATAAATTTCTGATTTCTATTTTATAAATAAAAAAAAATTAAGGGACAAGCTAACATTTAATCATTAAAAACTAAAGAGGCTTGGAATAATCAAAATATATTTAATGAAAATGTGCCCACCTCCTTATCTTGAGCGATAAAGAACAAATTAACAATGATTTTTGAACCATTTCTATGTTACTGAAAAAGCAACCTTTGAGAGGTCACCTGTTGGAGGTTACAGAATTATTTTTTATAATTCTACATTTTTTTACAAATTTAAAAATTTACCTAGTAGGTAAATATCAACAATTATTAATATTTATATTTAAATGTCAAATTCAATTTTTTTTTTACATATTATTATTTTACAATTATGCCAAAAAGCTAATTTACGTTTCGTAAATAATAATGTATTTAGGATATAATTGTCCAAAAAAATGGGACAATTGGCCCTTAATAGTGCGCATGAGCATTTGCGATTTTACGTACTAAAAAACGTAACTCATCCCTTATTTGAATTGCGGCTGTTTTAACCAAGTTATAAAAAATAATTGGTTTTTGTAAATTATATCATCGTCTGCTTTTTATTTCATTGATTTCTAAATATTCCATTTTAAGAGATAAGTTATTTTTTTACATTTTATATAATTTTAAATTTAATTTACATATACTCAACCCATTATGAAAAGATTTTAGTGAGCTCCCCTTTATTCTTATCTAGATAACAATTTTGTCGGCTTTCTTGCGAACCGAACTTAAAGAAGTGGTGATAGACCAACGTGCAATATGAATGAATAAAAAATTATTGAAAAACGCAAGCTAGTTTGTGTTTTTTTAAATGGTTTCTAACGCCAAGCGGTAAAACAATTTGCCCGATATCATTTTATGCAATATTTGCGTTTGAAGGGATCAATTTGTGCGCACTATAATACATTATTACCTATAAAATGCAAATCAGTTTTGGAGGCAGAGTAAAACAAAGTTATATAACATAGAAAATCGGACATGGTTTTACATAAAGATGTATGGGCTGGGTCTAGAAAAATAGATGGTTCATCAGGGCTAGAGCTCTGGATCATGTTATAGTTCTGGAAAAAATACTAAGGAAAATTTACAAGAGTGGGAGAAGCGCTTCTATCCAAAAGATATCATTTACATGTTTGTTCAAGTCAAATAAATGATTTTCGTTTATAAATCTGTTTTAAATAAAGTGTACAAAATTTTTAAGACTCGATAGTTAAATTAAAACACGTTTTTTAAAATAATTAAACAAATATTATAATTTTTTTTTAAAAAAGGGGGTATAATATAAATATACTATTTTAAAATATGCATAATAAATCTTTAGAAGGACATACCATCTTATTCTATAGTTAAGTTTAGTGTATTATAATAATATTTTTTTTTTCAATAATTAGCATTGTTATATTATTCTCGATCACATTTTATGTTTTATATAGCCTTGCCTTGACTATGATAATTTTAAAAAATGAATATAAAATATGTAACAAAATGATGTGTTTAATTTATCAATTATATTTATTTATTTGAAATTAATAAATCGAAGACGAGACCGACTTTGTTGGACGCATTACCTTGGGGTTGATTGGCCATTTTTATGTAAGTCAATTAAGAATGGGAATAGAAAAAATTGATTCGAGGTATTGTCCTCTATTCAAAATTTATAATTGATAACACTAAGGTAAAAAAAATTCTGCTAAAATGGTGCGAAATTCATAGAGTAGATATTATTAGATTTTTTAAATTTAAAATTTGTCCTCAGTAAATGATTTAAAATTAGGTAATTCCTAATCCTCTGAATTGACATAGTTAGTGATGGGGAGAAACATGTCACGAGTTAATCATTTTTCAAGTGTGAGAACGAAAAGTATTATGGTGACCGGAAACCTAATTCTGCCAAATCTTATCACCATATTTATTTTAAGATGATTAAATTTAATAATCCCTTTTTTTACCATTGCAAAAAAAAATATTTGATATAACCTTCAAAAAAATATCATCAATAAAAGGATTTCATAATTATTAACATATCATTTAAATAATAAATTCGAATTTTCAATCTAAAAAAAAATGTTATAATACTTAATAGAAGATTGTATTTTGGAAATTCCATTAATTGTTTATAATACATATATTTTTTTTTACTAATAAATTGTTATAATAATACAATAATAAAGAACAATATTATCGATTTTATTTGATGCCAATTTACTTTTATTTTTAAAAGGATGAATTATTATTATAAAATAATCTTAAAAATAAATTATGGGCAAATTATAATATTCCTTTAATTTAATAAAAATATATTTTTTTTATACTTAAGGATTTTTTAAGCTTAGTCCAAATGCTATCTGCAAAACCTGGAGGCCAGTCACGGTCCAAATAAAAAATATTCATAAGGAGCTGACCCAAGTCAAAAAAATAAAATTCTTAAAAATGATTGACCTTTTCGGGTAAAGGGGAGGGTAGGCGGGTAAAAGGGGGTATCTTGATTTTATTTAAATTTTTGATTCAATAATGGCACCCGGGATTAGTATTTAATAAAATTGTTTATTTAAAAGGATATATTTTTAAAAAAATTGCGAAATAAGGAAACTATAAATCGTGCCATTGTTATGCGTTTTAACGATTTTTAATGGAGTTTTGTCTCGGTTTAAATGTAGACGAATTATTGGGATGAAAGAAGTAGTCTCAAGTCATAGGAGATAGATACCTTTGTAAGGGGGCAGGGTTTCATTTGTTTACGGGGGTGTAGTATATACTCATGAACCCCTAATTCAATGATCGCGGATTAAAATTGATGATATTTAAAAATTTATTTTCCCTTAGTAAATTATAAAATTAACAAAAAAAATTTAACGGGTTTAAGAGGGAAACTAATTTTTGCGCCCCCCCCCCTTTAAAGAATTATGTTGCGTTTGTGTTATCCCATCAGGGAAGACATGAATCAAAATTTTAAAAATAACGGCATTAGTTAAGAGGGTTTAGTGCTGACCACCTCAACATTGACTATTGGTATTATTATTGCCAATATAATACTACACTTGTTTATTATCACCAAAATATTTTCTATATTTATATATGACGTATATTAATTAACATAAACTAATTAATCAATACACCCCCCCCCCTATAATATTATAAAATAGTTATTTTATTGATTTTGAACATGAAATTGTAATCTTCCCTCATAACATTTTTTTGTGTCATGTTTTCATTTCAAATTAATATATCACCATAATATAACATAGGTATTAAAATCCACATTTTAAAACCATTTTTGAATATTTCCATATGAAATTACTTCACGATTGAATTTAGAAGACAAATTTTTTATGTTAATTTTTATTTCTCGTTTTTCCTAATTTTTTTCACTTGTCTTTAGGACTTTTAAGAATGTTGCTCCTCAACAAAAATTCTACTAAAATGCATATTTAAATTTCCAAACCATCTATTCATGTTAAGTTAATCAAAGGGAGTGGCCATCTTATGAAGTTTTATTAATAATTTATAAAATATCATTACAAAATAAATGCTAACAAAAAATAGAAAAATATTTTAGTTTCAAATGTCCTAAAAAAATTAGGTGTTTTTTAAAAATTACAACATCCATTAAATTTAAAAAAGTACTTTTTTTAAAAAAAATATTTATATATATATTATTTTTAAATTAAGGTTACCGTCATTTTGCCATATTTTCTTATGATTTTTAATTATATAATAAAAATAATTAATGCTTGTTTAATAGTGAAACCTTCATACGATCACGTCAAGGCAGTTATATTTTGGTCAACGCCAAAAATATATGAGATTTTTTTAAACTAAGATTGGCATGGAGAACCAACTTAAATGGGTCAAGATAATGAGGTGGCCACCTTGTAAGGTTTTTCGAATTTTAAATGTTTGTAATATCAAGGTTCTAGCGACAATACAGACATAATCTATTTTTCTAATAGCTATAAAATAATATCGACATGTTAATTCCAATTTCACATTAAAAAAACTTTTTACTTCTCTATTAATAAAAATCAATCCTTTTTCTTCCAATTTTTAGGTAAAATATTAATTATCAATTATAAAAAAAATTAAAAAGGTCCTTCCTTCCATTTTTTTTTCTTTCATTCGTCCTTCCTATTTCTTTAGAAGCCAAATTAATAAAATATATTTTAAATAATTAGGCCTACCCGTCAAAAAATGTTTTTCAGTTTAAAAAAATTAAATGATTAAATGTTACAAAAATCTATATTTTTATACCTTTTCCATATCAATGAAGTCATCTTCTAGTTTGGTGCTGTCAGCAGTTCCGAGTTTTTCCCTCAGATACTATTTAAAAAAATACAATTTTATAAATAGAATAACGAGTGAATTGAATTAATTAAATAATTTTGTTCTTTTTCAAGAATAATAGAAATGTGACAGGGGTTTAATATTTTTCGTTTCTATTAAAAGAAGGGATGATTATCAGAAACTTGCATGGCCGATCCAAAACCAAGCTCGTAAAATAGCATGGTTTTAAAAATCTGAGCCGGCTATAAAAATGAGAACTTCAAACCCGGGCCGGATATAAAGACCTAAAAGGTGGGGAGGGCAAATTCTTAAATTACACTAATTAATCAGTTAAAAATCATATGAAGGATCATTAAATATTCATTAGTTTCACATAATTTTGAATATCCCTCTGAAGCTATTTATAAAAATCAAGATGAACAAAATTTAAAAAAAAAAATCATTGCCGGGCCTAAAAATATTCTTTTTTAAAAAAAATATCCGGGCCAGGATTTAAAAATATTTAAAAAAAAATTAGACCTCTACAAGATTTTGGTATGGTAATTAAGTTTTTCATTCAAAAATAAATGAATAACGAATTTCGTTATAAATTATTTTTATTTCTTTCGTAGTAGCTGGTAGGTAGGTGATAAATTTTTTTAAAATTTGATGTTTATAATTTTTTCCTTTTCACTAAAATATGCTTCTTAATCAAGGTTTTTATGTTAATAATAATATTTATTGGGATAAAATGTATATGTAAAAATTATAAGGAGATTGAATGAGCACGAAAATTCTGAACGTTCTAGTGTTGTTGAAAGTTCAGGCGAATTCAATATTTTATCTAATAGTAAATTATTAAAGTTTGGAAATTTTGTCAGATGGCAGAAAAGGTTTGACACCTATTGGCGAAATTTAGAGTTACTACAGCTAAAATCTTGATTTAGCCTTTTTTTAAATGGGCTTAAAACAACATTAAGCATACGTTTACAACACAATTTATTTTATGTAAAGAAAATATGTAAAATAAAAATAGAAAATATAGTTTAATTCGTGAATAAATAAGCTATCTAGAAAAAATTTCGGGCAACTCCCTAATTTGACTAAAATTTTGAGTCCCAATTAAATTCATAGTACCTACAATGCATTGGAAAATGTCTTTTAATTGGAACTGTTTAAGTTGAGTAAAACCTTGGTCAAATTAGAGAGTTTTTAGTGTACTTAATTGCCCTTTTGCAATCCTATCTAAGGTCGCCCATACCTTTGATAATATAATTATTTATTTGTTGATATAGTCACTATTTCCCACTTCTTGATTTTTTAAAAAACTTTACTCATTTTTAAAAAAAAATTCATTTGATAAAATAAATTGCGAAATTAAATCAGGCAAAAAAGGAAGAATAGGAGGGTATTATAAAATTTATATTTCTCTGACCACGGGCAGGGCCTAATTGATGATATTATAGCTGGCCCAACTCTTCGTTACTCTATTAAGAATTATTGAGCCGGCCCTACAATAACTTTAATGTTAAATACTAATAATAAATTTTTAAAATGCTGAAAGATGATTATTCACGTAATTAGATTAAATATTTTATAATAGAATCACTATTAATTTGTTAATGACTTTTGTCTATTTTTCATAATTACATTCGATATTAGGTGCAATATATTACGACGAATATGGACATTTACAATTAAATTATAATTATTTATTCGTTTATTTGAAAATAGCTATGAAAGCATTGAGATAATAACAATCAGATTATAGGTAAGTATAAGTATTCGGCGAATGCGCATAATTGATGAATTTATATTTGTTGAGAATGACTCATATTCTTAAATATTAGATTTCCTTAAATTTTAAGTGACATCATTCACGAATGCCTTAATCTTTCCCGCTTGAGAAACTAATTATAAATTTAAGTTTATATAAGCAATTTCGGTGATAGCAACAATATATATAATCATTTAGGCTATCATATTTAATTTTTACATAACCAAGGAACACCTTTGACTCCCCCCTCCAATCCCGAGAAATTAGATGGAGGAAAACGTGAATGGTTATGAAGGGTATAGCTAACTCCCGTTTAAAGTTAAATATATCAAAGTGCGATATTGAACCAACCAAGGTTTCATATGATCGCGATAACCAATGTTTATTTTTTAAATTCATAAAAAAATGATCATTATCAAAAAGCGTCTGAGGCCTAGTCGATTGAGCGCGTGTATCTCAATCTGATAGTTTTCGGTTTTAATCCAATAAGAACCATGTTTTTTTAAGCCAACTAGCTGGTCCCTTCTTAGAGGGGGGGGGGGTGTTGATATATAGAATATTGGTAGCGAACGCAGATTCCGTCTTATAAATATATTTAAAAAAAGGTCCTATTACATTTTTACAAAAATTGGTCGTTGTTTAGAAATCGATATATGTTGACTATGAAAACTAACATTAATCGTCAACCCCCATAACTGGTAGATTATATATCACTTAAATTTTATATATAAATGGCAAGAACCTGGAAACTAGTGATTTTTTTGTTCGACTTTGTTCCAAATTTTTAAAATAATTATATTATAGTTATTTTAAAATAAAAAATTTCCAATTAAACGTTCCTAGAAGCTGAAATGTTCTACGACTGGAAAATTCTAAATCTAGGATCATTTTAAAAACAAATTCCCATCCATTTTATTGTTTCTCGTAGAACACTTTTTGCCCTCCGGAACGTACCTGGACTCTTAAATTGATCAACAGGAAAATTACAAATTTAAAACATTGGTTAAGCTGGGCACAAATATTTCTAAAAAAATAAAGGCAGGCAAGTGAATTTGAAATATTTTTAGAGTTTTACATATTTAGTAGGACTGTGCCGATATTATATTAAATTGGCACAGATATTTAACGTTTTGTAAAAATATCGGATTAGGTCGATATTTTTTATATTGTTTTTGGTTATTTTAAAATTGTTTAAATAATTACTTTTTTTATTTTATAAATAATTTCAAAATAAATTAATAAAAAAAATTAAAATACAATTTTTATATTTTACTGTTTAAAAAAATAGCTAAAAATTTTACACAATTTTTTGTTATATCTGCAACAAGAAAAGGATCTAAAATCACATTCAGTTAGTGCTGTTAAACCAATTTAACCAATTTCTAAAAATGGATAACTTAATATTTTGACCAAAAATAAATTACTCAAACTATATTATTTTGCCCACATATGGCAGGAAGGTTTGGACGTAATTGGCGAAATTTCGAGGTTTAGGTAATAATATTTTGGCTTTAATCTTGCTATAGCCCTTTTAAAATTGGTCAAATGGAGCTATATAACAACACTACTCAATCATCCAAAAAACATTGCAAATATAAAATGAGATTATTAACTAATGGAGAAAAAAAAACTTAACTATTTTGAAAGTTAGTTAATTTTTAAAACAAAGATAGATGGCAAATAAAAATCAAAATGTTGAATCGGTATTAGATCAATTTTTTAGTAATATCTGAAAATCAGTGAAAAATTTGTGGATCAGGACAGCCCTAATATTTCATAAGAACCAAACTAACCAAAAAATTTTAAAGTGGAAGGATTGGTTAAACAAATTTTTCAGATGAATGGATAGGCAATTTATTTCTTAAACCATAGGTGGAAAGTTAAAATAATATTAAACAATTGACAGGCTTAAATTCAGTTTAAAAACTTGTCTATTACAGATCTTTAATGCATATAAACATTTAATTTAAATTAAAAAAAAATATGTGCAAATATTTGTATTTTATTCCGCCGCCTAAAAATGTTTATAAATTAAAAAATAAAATACAAGAAACTTTGCAGATTACTGAAAAAACCAGGTTACAATATTTACCTTTTTTATAATAACAATTATAGAGGAACATTATTGAGGTGCAACCATATCTAGTAAACCCGATTAATTAAAAAAAACTAAATGGCGTGTAATAAATATATCAAGAAAATTCAAATTAAAAACTGAATGAACTAGTCATTTAAAACAATTTATCTTCAGTATCATGATGTATATAATAGGTTAAATATTCCTTAATCAATATTCAATATAGATATTAAAATGGTGCTATTAGTCTTAAAAGTATGAGCAAGGTAATTGTAGCCTAATAAATATATGTAAATTTTCAACCCCCCCCCCTTTACCATGATGATGTTGATATTAATATAAAGATATTACCAATCATTTTTGGTTAAGATAAGAATATTTTTAGCCAATTGTACTATTATTAAAATGGTGTCAAACCATATATGAAAAATTATATATTGATTAAATAACAGAATTTTATAATTTGGCTAATAATGTAGGCTACTATAGTATATTAGATAATGTTAACTAAGGGTTTGGTCAAAAAATATAGGCAAAATTTCACCAAAACACATACATGAGTTAGAACTAAAGTTGTGTATTTTTTAAAATGTGTATATATAAATAATTTTGGTAAAGAATATTTTCAACATTGGTTCTAGTTATAAGATATAGATCAAATAATTTAAACGTACAAGCTTTGCTGGTATGATGTAAATGCCTAGGTTAAACTTTTTATATAATTTATTTTATAATTTATCTAATTATATGTGATAAGATTCATAAATAAGAAATTTTTAAATATTCATATAAATTTGCATATATAAGAAGTAAATTTATATTATTAATAAGAATAAGTATAAATAGGAGATAAAATACCTATTTTTTTTAAAAAAAAGAAAAAAAATACCCCTTTTTATAATTAAATTTTATCAAATTTTAAAAAAATGATACAGTTTAAAAATATAAACATATATTGATTAATATATGATAGTTTTTACCTGATCAGCTTTGTTCATTTGTTTTTTGAAGGATGTTAAAGACATTTTTAGTAATTTTTTAATATATCATATGACTTAAATTAGCATTTTATTCTCCACTAAAAAATTTCATAAATTATAATTTAGTCACTCATTTATTAGTGTGGAATCTTTATTATATAAATTTTTTAAATGTATTATATTTATAAACATTAATATTGATTTATTGTAATAATAAAGACAATTTAAAATTATAAAGCAAAATAGTGTCACTCTAAAAATAACTTTTCTATAAATATTGGATCATATATTTTATATTTTGGAAATTCATGATTAATATAATATTATTTTAATTAAATGTTCCAGGCCTTTAGTGTTTTTAATATTTTAGTAATTATCATTAAAGCTAATAAATATCCATCTCCCCCCCTACACATACCCCACAAAGAGAAGTATTTGAAAGAAAAATAAAAGATAATAACTATTTAAAATAATGATTACAATTTAAAATTTTTAGATAAATGTTTATTTATATGAAAAATAAGTTAAACCCCAAAAATATTTCCCAATACAATTTATGGAGTAAAAGTCCACCATAGTGCTTCCCTCACTCCCTTAAAATCCTGGATATGCCTATGAATGGCTCTATTAAATTTTGGAAGACCTTCCGAAAAAATTTAAGATTGTGGTGGAAAATAATAAATTTGTGAGTGAGAGTCACACAAGATTGGACCGGTAGCAACATCCTCAATAATAAATCACACCCATTTGTGATCTGAAAAATTATTATTATATTTTTTATATTTTTCCTTATTGTGCATAGTGAATATCACAATTATAAAATAAATAGAAATTAGAAGCTTTTTAAAAAATAAAAGATTGAAAATATTTATTCATTTTAACATATATTTTGTAATAATTAGAATATTATAAATAAATAATGTTAAACAATAAGTTGTTGGAAAATAATTATACTTAATGCATAAAAAAAAAATATATAAATATTTTTAGTTTTATACTTTTTCTTTAATGCTTTTATAAAAATTCACTAATCCTGAATTTATTCATTTTTAATATAAATTTTTTTAATAATATAACAAAATTAATAGAGTTGAATCGTTAACTTACGGAATAAGCTAAATATAGATAAAAATAATTAATCGGGAGTAGTTTTAGACAAATGCGCTAATATGGAATACGTTTTTATTCCTTGCTTTATCTTTAGTTTATTTAATGGGAGGACCAACTATAAATGTGGCGAAAGAAGTCAGTTATATTTTTATGTGATATAACATATTTTATTATTCAATATATGTACTTTTTATTCAATCTTTTTGCGATGACTCCTAAAATTATGATTTCAATAATAAATAATTAAATTAGAATTTATCAAGGATGTCAAAACTTGAGTTTATATGCTTAAAATAAATCCATCCAGAAATTCCGTTTATTATTTTTCTGAGTTTTCCTTTTATAAAATAATAATAAATAAAATCGATAAACGACTTCCGATAAATAAGGAGTAACAAAGTAAAAATAAAATAAATGATAAATAATACTCATTTAACTATTGAAACATCTCCTAATTTTCTCATAAATTTTTTATATAACTTTGAATTTATTTCTTTTAACCCCAATTTTTTTACACTATAGGGTTTAATTCAAATCTCTGCTTTAATTTTTGCGTATAACCTTCTAAGTCTCCCTGGATTGATATAGAACTTCTTGGATCAAGTTAGTTTACGCAAATGGAGAACGGATTTAAGAGCAAACTACAAATCACCTCTCTAAATGTCAAGGGAATCAGAAATAAATTAGCAGTCCTCTTAAGGATGTTAGTAGATAAAATAGTGGATATTATGGGTACCCAAGAGACTCATAGCCAGAAAAGTACGATGGCCACCTTTAATTACTAAGCTCAGGGGTTACTATGAACAGTTGGTCGAGGGTAGCGCTCCTAATCAAAATATATAAACAAATTCACACATCCTCCGAAAGGTGCGAACTTCTATTAATAGATACATTTTTAAAGCCAACTAACGCCCCACCAAAGAAAAGAGAAAGGCTCCTGTTTCTGGGTGACCTGAAAAATTTAGTCCCTCTACCTAAGAGACATATCATAATAATTATAGGTAATTTGAACACCAGAATCGGCAAGGAAGATATCTACATCCGGTAGTCATGGGAATTGCTGCAGTACAAAAACCAAACAGAGAAGACAGCATCGATTTTTGATCTCTATCGATGCAGATATTTTAAAATTGAAAACACTTTTTCTCTCACAAAGAAACAAATATTATCACCTTTGAAAGAGCAAACCAGAGATCACAAATAGTATTTTTCTTGTCCAAAATTCATTTGCTGTTCATCGGTGTAAAAGCCTTTTCAAATTATAGGATGTCTTAATAAAATGCTTAAAGCAAAATTTCCTTATTTTTTCAAAAACAAATGAATCCTCTTTACCACTGCCAGTCTATGAATAGCAATAATGTAGCCAAATTTAATTATATCGTTTATTCATCAAAATTATTTAAATTTTAGGAATGTTGTTGGATATATGCCAATGGAGTGGTAGCTAGCAGGTTAAGATCCAAATTAAATGGTGCAAATATTGATTAAGGCTCTAATGACCAGCCTATTTCCCCCGACAGATCATCTTTAGTAAAACTTTATATTTCAAAAATGGGTGTACTTTTGTTTTAATATTAACGTCATTAGCTCTTTAAAATAACATAGTGAGCGCTGAAATTTAATTTCTGATTATCTCCAATAATCGATATGCATTTAAAATTTAAACCCAAATGTAATAATTGAATAGACCATATCTCGAATATTTGAGGCTATTTAATTTACAATTCCAAAATAAAAATTAATACTTTAGATGGAGTTCTAGCACATGTAAATTTTTATTTGTAATTTCGAATAAAAGAAAATTATCTGTTAGATGGCACTTGGACAACGGCATCGTAAATTGATATTAAAATTAGTAATAACACTTAGATTGAATTTAGAAAAGTTCGCCAGGTGCCAGATAAATTTTTTGACTGATGCCTTAAGAACTGGCCTATTTTTTTTATGCCCTAATAACTTATACACATTATTCTCGTAGTAAACTAATTTTCATGAAAACAAATTTTTATAATTATCTATAACTAGTGTCAAACAGCTCGATTAAAAAAATCGATTTTTAAAAAAGGCTAAAAAAAATATTACACAAGCTGAGATTTTGCTAACAGATGTGACAAAGGGCATAGGCAATATTTATCTGGCCAAAACTGGCATAGATAGGGTGACTTATTACGAATTTATTTAATGTAGTAAGTATTCCTTTATATATCTTTGTTTAACATGCAAAATAAAATCAGCTGACATAAAATATTGTGACGTGGATAATAATTGTGTGTTTCCAATTTTGAAACTCTATATAATGGAATTACAAATGTTAAATATTCCGTAAATAATTTATGAAAACTTTTTGAATTTCATTTCCGATAATATTCCCCAAATTTCTATCAACGTTTGCGTCTTTTACAATAATGGGCTAATTTATTTTTACAATAAAAAATTACATCTTTCTCATTTTTAAATTTATACTTTCTATTTTACCCCGTGAGCTAACCACATTACCTAAGGTAGTTGATAAATAGCAAGCTCTATGCTTTTACTAAATTTGAAATAATCTCCATAATGTGATAAATAGAATTCTGGTCATTTAAAAAATTTAGTAGACTAATGACAAGGCTAATTAATGATATAAATAACTTAAAGCCCATAAATTGAAATAGAAAATTTATTGAGAAAGAGTAAAAATATAACTTTCCTAAAAAATATTTTATTATAAAAAATGAATTCTAGAAATTATTATCTTTTGTTTGGAAATAAATAAAAAAAATTGCTTGTAATATTACCCAAAAACCGCTTTGAAAAAAAAGGTTCTATCTGGCAGTGGCCTTATGCTTATTTGGAACTTGAAAATATTTTTAGGAAGAGGCATGGTAATTAAATTTAAAATTCCGAAAAGTTATAAATTATTTTCCAAATTATTAAAATCATAGGCGTAGCCAGAATTTTTTTAAGGGGGGTGGGCACTATTATTATAATTTTTTTCTATCAATTTTATTGGGGTATTTAGGTCCACTTATTGTTGGCCTTTGGCTATGTTAGATTTATATTTTAAAAAAAATAGTTACTCATTTTTTTAATAAAAATTTCCTAAAAATTTTGAATTATAACGTCATTTTAAAAAGTTATTAATTTTTACTTATTTTACTTTCAAATTCTTGTTTATTGTGATATATTGTATATATTTGTGGGTGAGAGGGGGTGGGGGTTTATAGGGGGAAAATTTTTATTAGTTTAAAATGACAATTAACGAGAACAGGCAATTTCTGGCTAAGCCTACCTTAAAATTTATTCCGATATTGACTCCAACCAAAGTGCAGTCTAAGATATTCTCTTCGTGTCTAAATTTTAAAAAGGCTTATTGTAATTATTTAATAGACTAATACTATCCAAGTTATCATTAATTTTAATTTATTAATAAGATTAAAGTTTTATAAAAATCCAATCATTATTTTTCTAGTTAGAAATTGAAGAAGAGAAATAGATTATCAAGCAAACTCATACAATTTACCATATGAAATAATAGCTCAAAAAAGGAAATGTTTTGAAAATTATTTTAAAATCAAATCTTATTAAAGATTAAATTATTTTTTATATTGAAAAATAATATTTCTTTCAATTTTATATATAGTCATTCAAAACTAAAATAAAATTGGACCGTATTAAGATTCGGTTGGGTTTTTATATGTGGTCTATAGTTCGGCTTGGTCTTTAGAATAGGTTCCGCTGTTTGGTAAGGTTTATAAAATGACTCCAAACCGAATTAAAATTTTTTACTTTCCTTCGGAATTTATAATTTTCCCGTTTAAGTTAAAATTTACTACTTTTTCAACAACAGTCTAATAAAAAAAATCTTATTGGCCCGATAAAATTTGTAACTTATTACGCATGGGCGCTCTAGTATTTTATATTTTCAAAATGATATTATTATAAGAAAAAGTCATAAGAATTATTTCATATATTTTTTGAAAGCCCCCCCCCCCCCCCCGGTTACAATTAAAATAAAAAAA